GCTTCAGTCTACACTCTCTGGAACCGGAGAAACCTAAGCGGCGATGGTGGATTAACGTCGCGGCCAGCCGGCTGGCAGGTCACTTAGCATGTTTGGTGAGGGAGGCGGATCATGCCAATTAACCCTTGAACTTGTGGAGTGGTATCAAATGAGCCCTTCAACCCAAATCAGACACATCCCGCACCTTATACTTTTCAAAGGTATCAAATAAACCCTTACATTATCAAGAAGTTTGCAGCTAACAGAGAGCTGCATCTGGGTGGCATCTAATAAGTGGCATGGTGAATTACTGGACTATTTCTTATGAGCTGACCTTTTAACAACTCAATTTTTTTTTATTAACAAAAAATTGATAGAGTTAATTAATATTCATTAATTTAAAAATATAAATTAGTTTTATTTTTTTTTTTAAAATAGAATTTTAACTTTAAAATATATCATTTTATTTAATTTAAAATTTAAAAATTTATGTTATTAAATACTAAAATTTAGATTTGGATACTGATTGAATTTTAAAATTTTTAAATATAAGTCAAAACTTTATTTTTTTTAGAATCAAAATTGATACGGACTAATTTTATTTAAAAATGTATATCAATTTAAAAATCTTAATTTGAGACTCATGTGTTATTAAAAAACTAATCTTGATTCAAAAAAGGGTTAAAACTCCATTTTAATCTTTTTATTTTAACCAAAAATCCCTTTTTAGTTCATTTTTACGTAAAAAAAAACCTCTTTTGAGTCTTTTTATTTTAAAACTTTTATTATCTAATATACTATGTAAAAGACTAAAAAGGACTTGGATAACAAACTTTTAGAATTAAAAAGGGACTTTTGTGAAAATAGAGGGACCGAAATGGAGTTTAAAAAAAATACTCAGAAGGTATTTTGTCTTCAGCAGAACTGGTTAGAGTGTCGAGACCAGAACATAAACTCTTTCCTGAAACCTTCTATAAATAATAATAATAATAATAATAATAATAATAAAACAACTTATCTTTCGCTTTTGGTTTATTACCTATGCCGGCTTTTGCTGGTTCCAGTCCAAACCAAAAGCGAAACAGAAAGAGCAATAGTCGCCTCTGTGAAGAATGTTGGTTCAGCTACCTCGCCTGAGTAGTTCCCTCCGGGATCCCGTCGACGTCGATCAAGCGTATCTTCAACGCAAGATCATCCTCCAAAACAACAACTCCAAGCCTCGTCGGTAATTTCTTCTCTCGCTTATATATGATTAATTTGTTAACACTACTTCTGTTAGTATCAAAATGGGAAGTGCCTAGTTTCAATATTTAAACATCATTCATGAGTTTGATTTTAGGTGTATATTTATGGGGTTTTTGTTTTTGGTTTGACTTAATTTAGTTCTGGAAACCCTCTGGATGAGTCAGAGCTTGCAAGGAAGATAGTTGATGGGTGTGAACAAGATATTTCTGTATTTTGGTTAGTTTCAGGAATTTAAGTTGGAATATTTTTCTTGTAAGAGTTTGATGAACTTAATAAATAATTACTGAGAATTTGTGGGGGCAGCTTCAGCCAGAAATTGAATTTATTAATGCAATAGTAGAACTTTTTGTTCAATGATATTGGAGGAATGAAGGTTCTGTCTCTTTGGTTTATGGAATGATATTCATTTTGGGATAACTGAGAAAAGTAGATGCTGAAATTGGGAGAACATATGCTAACTTTTGGGGCAAGCTGTACTTTGGTGGCCAAATTTTTTCTTTTGATTCTCTTCTTCCAGGGTAGCCAGTTGTATGATCCAGAGGCTGGTGGGTGGCGAGATCTGGGCATGCTTGATGTTATGCAGGTACTGCTGAAATTCCTCTAATTAAATGTATTTAAAATGTGTTGCGTCGTTTTTACCTTATTGCATGACCGATTGCCCCTTTCCTGATGCCTCTTCTAGATGTTTGGAAGGGCAGGTAGACCTCAGTTTGATAAAAGTGGTGGAGGCATCATAATTTCGTCTCATGACAAACTAGCCTACTACCTGAGGTTGTTAACAAGTGAACTCCCTATAGAAAGTCGGTTACTAGCTTATGCTTAAGTTTTTTGGAGCATATTTTTGTTTTGTTATGTAGTTATTAAAAAACTATAACTGGATGAGAGGATGTGGAGGCCCTGCTGCATATATGAACATAATTTGGATGTATTCATTCACAAGTGAAATTTGTTGTACTTGCATGCTCAGAATTTTTCAACCCTTTATCATCAATAGATCTACTACTATATTGATTCCATTTGTCATGTTATCATGTTATTCTCCAAAATTATTCTTTTCTGAAGGTCTGGCAATTTAGTGTTTGGCTTCTAGTCAACATATATTCACTCCATATGATGACTGCTTGTTTGGATATGCAGTATTGTAAAGGTTGATAAACAATAATGATGCCAGATGGCAAGTTACTTGAATGTGATGCTGTAAGGTGGCAAACCCCTGGATAATTAAGGTGCTAAAACTTATATTCAAGATTAAAAAATGAGGCTTATCTGGCTTACTCTAATCCAGGCATCTTTGTGATGTTTGGGCTGCGTTGCTGACCCAGTTTTGTTGCAACCTCTCTATATGTCTTTGGTGGTGTGCTAAGTCTAAAAAGAATAGTTGCTTGCCTTTTTTTTTTTTTTTGGGAAAATTGAGGATATATGTAATTAAGATTTGGTTTTCTGCTTGTTTTTCTTTATTTGCATTTTCTGATTGCAGTTTATTAGCTCGATGAAAGACAATTTAAATGCAGAAGTGGTCTTGGTGATTGTGACTAATGTCAAGGAGGCTTGTGCATGGCTTGGGTATACCTATCTTTTTATCAGAATGAGGTTGAATCCTCTTGCATATGGCATTGGATGGGATGAGGTATTTTATGCTTTTCTTGATTTCACATGAGTTCTTGATACCCAGCTGCTGGCCAATATAATAGATAAGACTTTTTATTAGTTGAGAACTGGCTTTCCCTGTTCTTTTGCATTTGATTTTCTATTTCTATTTTGCTGTTGATAATTTGAGTGGCTGTTTCCATAAATATTTCATAGCCA